TAGTAGAGACAGGGTTTCACCATGTTGGTCAGGCTGGTCTGGGACTTCTGACCTCAACTGATCCGCCGGCCTCAGCCTTCCAATTACAGGCATTAACCAGCACACCTGGCCTGTCATTTCTTTATATTTGGATAACATAAGGACTTTAAGACTCTTTTTCCTTTGGCTCAATCAATGATCTGCACTATATACCTTTTGCAAAACAAAGGACAATACAGTCCTCATTCACATCCTGGTCATGTCACTCCTAGTGACTCCCACATTGCAAACCTCCCAGCAGGTGCAGCCCTTTTCTCTCCATCTGATGGGCTTCTCAGCTCCCATCACGCTGACTGGACACAGACTCCCTAGAGGCAGCCACCAAAAGCAGAAGACATGGATGACTCAGAAGTTCCTAAAAAGTCATCAAACCAGATGACACAAAACTCAAATGTCATTTCACTTTGTTTTGGTTTATTCTGTTTGAGACAAGAGTGCAGTGGGCATCCAACTAATCTTCTCTGGAGTCTTTTGTAGAGATGGGGTTTGTCTCCGATGTCCAGGCTAGTCTTAAACTCCTGGACTCAGGTGATCTGCCCACCTTAACCCCCCAAAGCACTGAAATTACAGGCCTGCACTGTGTAATTTGCCACATGACACAGCCCAATAACAAAAAAGAAACCCCATGGGTCCAGCGTCTACTCATATGGGTGGACTGATGGCTGGGAAACCACAGGAGAGGCCAAAAGAGCAGCCACGGCACCTGCAAGTCCTGGTCCTCTCAGGGTGCCCTGAGGTGGCCAGAACAGAGGTGGGGTGGCTTAGGGCTGGTGGAGGGAAGGGGATGGGGATGGGGTGGGATCTGAGTTGGGGAAGGGGACAGTAGGGTAAAGGAGGATGTTGGGCATCTGGAGGAGCGGGTCTGGGAAAGGATCTGGTTCAAACCAAGTCTTCAAGGGCCAGTGGGAGGTTCAGCTACAAGTCTGGGAGAAAGTCTATCAGGAAGCAACAGAACACGCAGGGCAAGAAAGCGGGAGGCTCAGAAGCAATTAGACAGAGACCAGGGCTCTGGTTTCCGCCACACCTTCTCCTGCCTGGGTGCTGTCTAAGCAACCCTGGGGCTTTACACTAACTCTCCACTAATCCCCGGCCCCGGAACATGGTACGTCACAGCGGACATTCCACGGAGCACACGCGTCCTCCAATGCCCCTCTCCCATCTCATCCCCCCATGTCACTCCCAAGGGCAGGTCCTCTCTGGAACCTTCACAGACCTGATTTCTGGCCTTCCCCACCAGCTCCCTGTCCCTGCTTCTGGGCGGCTCCTTCCTTCCTGAGCTCCCAGGGTTTCTCATGGTCAGTCTTGGATGCAAAACATAGGAAACAAATGATGGCAGGACGGCAGGAAGAACCTCACACACAAGCAGAGTGGGAGGCTTTACAGCTCCCTCTCAGCCATTCATAGTCTAAGCAACAAAACATCAGAAGAATGCGGAAGGTCCCAATAGTAAACCATCTCCACCACATCCAGGGAGCCATCCATCCATCATCCTGTATCTCGGGAACAAATGTTGGAGCTACACTGGTTTTAAGCATGCATGGTACCTTTACAAAAATTAACCTGACTTATTTTGTTCATCAAGGAAATCTCAATATATTTCAAACAAATCCAATCACACAGCAGGTTTTTGATCACAGAATTGTGCTAGAAGTCAATGATTAAAAGCTAACCAAAAATTATTATATGCTTGGAAATTAAAAGTGCCAGTATAAGATATCAACAGAAGAAAGAATCCAAAGTGAAACAAGACTGACTTTACTCTCAGTGAGAAGATCATAACATGGCAATCAAATGTCTCCCTCTGGCCCAGGAATTCCACTGTGTGGCACAAGGTTGTGTGGCCTCAAATCACCCCTAACACACCTAGACATGTTAACATCTGAAACAGGGTGATGGTGTCACTTATCTATATTATATTACTGACTGTGAAAGTGGACTTTTAATTCTGAACCCTAATGAGGGGGAGAAAACCAAGTTGACCCTCATGGTTGAGCTCCCAGGGATGTCCAAGGAATCTGTGCATTTCAAGAGACAAAGTTCATCAGCCGCTCTCCTGGGGGATTTGGCCACAATACCCAGAGGGTTTGGCAGCATCATGAGTGATGGCTAGGGAGTGCCAAGCTGGTGGCCAGGACCCAGGGGTCTGGTGACCAGGTCAGACCCCCACTGTCCATTATCTTTCCTGGCCCCATCCTCAGCTAAACTTCCCAAGGCCTGCTTCTGCCTGATCACACCGTGTGCGCAAACTCACTCAGGCCGCTTGCAGCTGAAAACCACTGCTTTCAGTGTCTTTACCATTTACTATGATGTAAAGTTATTATAAACTGCAAATATTCTATTCACGCTACAAATGGAAAGCAACGCCTTTACCATAAATAGAAAAACAACTCTGAGACACAAGGAAAACAAAAACAAAACAGGGATAACACAACTGTGGCATTCAATTCTATTCGTCTGCTGTCAGCTGCGTAAAGAGCCCCAGATTTGGGTTGTCTTGTTTGTGAAAGAAGAGACCAAGTAAGTGGGTGTTGAAGTCAGATTAGCCCAAAAGTGAATGGCAGAGAGTACCATGATGTCCATGAAGGGTTGCTGGGGTCACCTTCATTATAGCCCGAGCAGAGACAGGGCAAGGAAGGAGATGTGAGCAGAATTTGGGGCCTCAAACAGGGGAGGTGATTCATGCAGCCCAGGAAAGGCTCCCCAAAGCCAGGGTTAGCCTTCCTTGCAGGCAGGTCCCTCGTGGAGGCAGAGCCAGGCATCTTAGATTTGAGACCAGCTGTATGACCCTGGGCTGGTTTCCTCCCATACAATGGAAGTGTTAATGGCTGTGTCAAAGACTGTCTGAGGATAGGAGGAAGCAACCTGCTAAGCACCTGTGTACCGAGTGTCATCATGTCCCAAGGACATCTTTTCTTCCAGAGCTGGCACCTTGGAAGGTCCCTGGCCACTAAAGGCAGTGATAATGATAACAGCAGCAAATCATCATTTATGGTTGATGATGGAGGGTCAGGGGGTAGGGCTCCTAGGTCCTTGATAAGAATGAGGGTCTGGGGACTCCTGGGGACAGCTGAGTGAGTCCTGTAGGACTCATGGGTCCCCAGGGGCCAGGTCTGTCTTCAGTGGCACTGGGCCCAGGCTGGGATGCTGGGGCAGCCACTGGAGCATCAGCAGGACAAACAGGCACAGAGGCAGTAGAGGTGGCAGGTGTCGGATCATCTGTCCATCACGTAGAGTCACCAAGCCTGGCTGACCACTGCCCCCACAGATGATGCCCTGTCCCTTGCCTCACACTTTGGCAGGGCAGTGGCTGGCACCTGGGGCCTCACGGAGCATCACTCTAAGACCTCTGTGTCCTGGTCATTGAATGGGAACTTGAATCACCCAGGGCCACTGGAACAAGGAGGAAGAATCAGGCCCCACAATGTTTGGGGACCATGTTTAGCACAGGAAAATGCACAAAATGCATGCATGACACAGGGGAGCTCTTGGTGTGGGAGCCAATACTTTATGACCTCCAGCCCTAATCTGAGCACTCTCACCTGTGCAATCCGAAAGAAACAGGAGACTTGCAGGAAAGATAGTGCCTGGATTTAACTTAAAAGAACTAAAATGTTGAACGTTCACACTACTGATATCCTTCCAAATCAACTCTCTCAATGCTGCCATCTTCACCACTACCATATGGGGTAACTGAGGCAGTCAGGGATTTACTCACTCAATGCCACTCAGCTGATTCTGAGTTCACTGCTGATCACATCTGAACAAGCTGCTTTTTCTGAAGTTTACCTTGTTTGATCATGCTGCTGCTGATTTTGTGCAGCTCTGGGACAAACTCCACCTGGTTAAGGATAAAGCAAATGCACAGTGACTCAGTCCTGCTGTCATTTCCCATCAATTCCCCACTCTCCTCTGCCCTCCACAGTCCCCCACACAGACTCACACCGTATGGTGGCCCTAATGGAGTCCACCGAGTACTTCAGCTCGACTCTATTAGGCCCTCTGGGCCCCTTGAAGGTGGAGGTAGTTATGGGATTTGCTTTGACTCAGGAGCTGTGAGTGGAAGTGAAGTGTGTCACCTTGAGGCAAAAGAGTTGGAAGTCACTGAGACTGGCCACCCTTTCCTTCATCTCTCAGAGCCGTTGATAGGTGCCATATAGAGGCTGATCCTTTATTTTGGCGGCAGATGAGGGGGTGTGGAGCACAGGGCCCAGGAGAGCCATGGAGGACGTGCAGCATAAGCAGACAAAGAGCCTTTGGTGTTGTAAATTTCCATTTTGGGGGGCTGTTTATTACCTACAGTGATACCTGGTCCATCCTAGCAGGCACACACCATCTATTCCATGCTCTGAAGTAAACTAGCCTACTGTCAGAACATCCACTGGTTGTAAGACACATAAGGTTTCAGTTCCAGCTCTGCCTCTTATTAACTGCAACCTGAGGCATTTAACTTTCAGTCTCTGAGCCTCAGTTTCAACTCTGTAAAATGGGTTGTTTATACTACTTCTGGTTGTGGAGAGAATGAAACGAAATAAAAATGCACGTACAGCATTGAGCCCAGGGCCTGGCACACACAGTGAGTACTTTCAATTTTTATTTTTAAACAGATATGATGAAACTATGAATATTCTTTCACATCCAGTGTTTTTCTCTTAATAGTATATGGTTAAAAATTTTTTATCTTGGGCCCGTCACGATGGTTCATGCCTGTATTCCCAGAACTTTGGGAGGCCAAGGCAGGTGGATCACAAAATCAGGAGTTCGAGACCAGCCTGGCCAATATGGTGAAACCCTCCTCTCTACTAAAAATATACAAAAATTATCCAGGTGTGGTGGAATGCACCTGTGTCCCAGCTACTTGGGAGGCTGAGGCAGAAGAATCGCTTGAACCTGGGAGGTGGGGGCTGCAGTGAGCCAAGATAGTGCCATTGCACTCCAGCCTGGGAGACAGAGTGAGACACTCTTTCAAAAAGAAAAAATAAATAAATAAATAAATATTAATTTAATGAATAATTATTGCTATTGGACTTTTTGTAGATTGCATAGAACATTCAAAACAAATGAAGAAGAATAAAAAATGTATTACATGTAAAATAAATGTGATTTTATTATTTTATTCAAAAATATAGAACTATATATGTAATATAAAATGTATTTCTAATTATGAATCATGTTAAAAATAGTTTAGAAGCTGCTGATTTTGATTTGTTTCAAATTTTGCAAAATTTTTTTTTTTTTTTAAAGACAGAGTCTCCCTCTGTCACCCAGGCTGGAGTGCTGTAACGCAATCTCGGCTCACTTCAACCTCTGACTCCCAGGTCCAGGCAATTCTCCTGCCTCAGCCTCCCAAGTAGCTGAGACTACAGCCACATGCCACTTGCCTGGCTAATTTTGTGTTGTTAGTAGAGATGAGGTTTCTCCATGTTGGTCAGGCTGGTCTTGAACTCCTGACCTCAGGTGATCCACTCGACTCAGCCCCCAAAGTGCTGGGATTACAGACATAAGGCATAACTCCCTGCCTAAATTTTGCAGAATAATAAACAGCCTTTTGAAGTACTGCTGGGCACTTGTCTGGTTGTTTTTCTTTAGATTAACATGCCAGCAATGATTCTGTCTGACTTTCTGACCAAGATAGCAGTTTTTATCCAAATCAGTCAACTACTCTACCCCATCCCTAAGCCACTTGTATGGAAGCAAAAAGGAGGAAAAAGCCAGTATTGTGACTGCCTACGCTTCCCCCACCATGGCCCCCTGTGAGATGTGGGCCAGCCGAGACCTGGGAACTGTTCAAGGTCCCCAGGCCCTGTCTGTCTGCGCTCACTCACCTTCCTCAGGTACTCGCATGGGAGATGGCACTGACTTTACATGCTGCTGCAGCTCCTTGGTGAGCTGGCCCTGGTCATGGGACAGGAACTGTGGACAATAGAGAGCTTCACCACCTGAAGAATGGGAACAGAAGCTTATGATGAGTGCTAACCTATTAGATAATTAAGTTTAAAAAACAGTTTGTTGAATGAGTGGAAAAACAAGGTGATGCTTGAGTCTATAGTGGTCAAGAGCATGGGGGCCTCAGAAAAGGTCAGAACCAAGTTCATATTCCTGTACTTTGAATTTCTACTTCATGCCATGCAAAATTACTTTACCCCTCTTCACCTCAGTTTCCTTCTGTGTGAAATGGAAACAATTTCATTCCTCATTCAGTTTCTGTCAAGGATTCTAAAACACCCAACTCATTTAAATGTATCATCATTTCTGTCATAACTTGCGGGATCAATTTCACTATTATTGAATATATAGTTCTGTGCCTGAAACCTACAAAAAAGAAAATCTTACATCTAAAAAGTGTCAGTGATTTGTCATTATTATATTATTACTCAGAACCATATTTAATCACACAAGCCCTTGTACATGGCAGGTGCTCAAAAAACACTTGTTCAATCAATGCATGTGGGCTCCACAGCCTCAGTGTTTAGGTCCTATTCGGCCTCCACCACTTATTAGCTGAGTGATGCGGGCAAGATAATTCATGTCTTTATGTCTCCGTGTCCTTCTCTATAAAAGTTGTATAATAAGAATCCCTAGCTCCTTAGGTTGTTGCCGGGGGTGAGTGATTTGGCACATAGTAGGGCCTTGTTAAACAGCTGTGATGAACTCCTTCCAAATTTTCCTTTTCAGAGCCACAGATGAGGTCATAGTGCCACCTGGTGACCGCAGTGTGTAAGTACAAATGATCGCCAATATGCTCTCTCTTCAACGCAGGTCCCAGACTGGGTACTTACCATTTAGAGGTTTCTGCTGCATCTGCCTTCTCAGTGCTCACGTAAAGACTTTTGTATTTTCCTACTCGCACTCCTGAAGATGGGGTTCAGGTTGCCCAACACAGCTAGGTGATCCACACAGGGCAGTGACCAGCTGTGCCAGCTCTGTGATGTCACTGGAAGACAATTGTTCCTTCCTTCTTATGTTCTGGGGCAGATGCTAGGGCTGGGGCGACCCATGTACTCAAGTTTCTTGCTTTGGAGGGTCACATTTTCTTTTGGCAAGGAAGGCAAAGGTCACAGGAAGCCAAAGACCCGTGACTTCTCTGTGCTGTGGATTCAAACTATAAAGACCTGAACACTCTATGCTAAAAGCCCAAGGCTCGGGTGCTCCCCAGGACTTCTCACCTCACGGCCTCTGCTGAGGGAGGATGAATACTATGTCCTTCCAGGGCTTTGGGAGCTTGTAGCAAGCAGCCTCCCCAGCACAAAATCTTTTGGAAACCTTGAACTGTGTCTAAAACATTCCTGCACATTTTGCATCCTATTTCCAATATGCCAGAATGTTTTAGGAAAAAAAACCTCAATTTCCTAAATATGCAAGAGAAATGGATATTGTAGGGCAATGTGACTTTTAAAAACATGTCATTTAGGCTGGGAATGGAGGCTCATGCCTGTAATCTCAGCACTTTGGGAGGCTGAGGTGGGCAGATCACCTGAGGTCAGGAGTTAAAGACCAGCCTGACCAACAAGGAGAAACCCCATCTCTACTAAAAATACAAAACTGGCCGAGTGTGGTGGAGCATCCCTGTAATTCCAGTTACTCAAGAGGCTGAGGCAGGAGAATCACTTAAACCTGGGAGGCAGAGGTTGCAGTGAGCTGAGATCACACCATGGCACTCCAGCCTGGGCAACAAGACCAAAATTCCATTTCAAAAAACAGGTCACAGGAAGCCAAAGACCCATGACCTCTCTGGTCAAAAAAACAAAAAAACAGAGTCTCAGAATGATGAAACACTTTGTCCAATGTGACTCAGCTAGTAAGTGTTGAGACCTTGCAGCCAACCAAAGCCCACTTCATTCTAAAGGCCATGCTGTGTGTTTTCTGGCCCATGGAGAATAATTTTAACACAATCAATGACATTTCTACACAACAATGTTCTTGTCTCAAGTCCAAGAGTGCCTCCTATACCTTCTATAACACTGGCGTTCTGGTCACTAAAGATGCCATTCTGTGTAATCATGTGGCCAATGGAGATATGACCAATGTCATCATGTGTGTACACCCATAACCCTACACACACTCTTCCTTTGTCTAATGAAATTCAAGTACCCTTTTTGATACTTAGTAAAACTGAGCTTTAAAGGGGTTAAGGTTTCACCGGGTGTAGTGGCTCATGCCTGTAATCCCAGCACTTTGGGAGGCTGACGTGGGTGGATCATGAGGTCAAAAGATCGAGACCATCCTGGCCAACATGGTGAAACCCCATCTCTTCTAGAAATACAAAAATTAGCTGGGCATGATGGCGCATACCTGTGTGCCTAACTACTGGGGAGGCTGAAGAAGGAGAATTGCTTGAACCAGGGATGCAGAGATTGCAGTGAGCTGAGGTCATGCCACTGCACTCCAGCCTGGTGACAAAGCAAGACTCTGTACATGTATATAAAGGGTGAAGGTTTTTATATCCATGAAACTTTCTGTATTGCTTTTGAAGTCTCTGGTTAAATAAATATTCTTCTAATAGTGACCTGTGATTTTGTTTTGATCAAGTGTTTTCAAACGTGACATCTTTGACGGGTTTCTCCAGCATCAAAATCCTAAATCAAGTCTTTTTGCCTTAAAATTAACGTTGGGATTTTTCAGCTGGGTCCTTCAGGGAGTCTAAAGAATGTGTCTCTCATCTTGTAAAGATATTAAATGATTCAATTTAGTTGGTAGATTGTATGCGTGGGCATTGTCAAATGTGGTGATGCTGCATGGGAGGGCACTGTCAAATAAGGTGACATTAGATCTCATCTCAGCCATATTTATGGGTATGCTGTTGATATACATGTTCCAAAAATTATATACATTTATGCAAATTGAATCTGTTATGATTTGTACTTTTGATTGTTATGCTAAATATCTGCTAAAGTTATATTTGTATAAACATGTTATTGATGTCTGGGCATGGTCACTCATGCCTGTAATCCCAGCATGTTGGGAGACAGAGACAGGTGGATAACCTGAGGTCAGGAGTTCAAGACTAGCCTGACCAATATGGTGAAACGCCATCTCTACTAACAATACAAAAATTAGCCAGGTGTGGTATCAGGCACCTGTAATCCCAGCTACTCAGGAAGTTGAAACGGGAGAATCACTTGATCCCAAGAGGCAGAGGTTGCAGTGGTCTGAGATCACACCCATTGCACTCCAGCCTGGGCAACAAGAGTGAAACTCCATCACAAAAAGAAAAAAGGTACAAAAATTAACCTGGCATGGTGGCACATGCCTGCAGTCCCAGCTACTCAGGACGCTGAGACAGGAGAATTTCTTGAACCCAGGAGGTGGAGGTTGCAGTAAGCTGAGATGGTGCCATTGCTCTCCAGCCTGGGCAACAGAGCAAAACTCCATCTCTGAGTAGAACAACAGAACAACAAAAAACAAAAGAACAAAAGAACAACAAAAAGTTATTATGTATTCAGAGAAATATGGAATTTACAAAAGTCTGGTGGTCC